ATGAGTGTCTTGCGTAGGTAGACGATGAGAAACGCTTGGATTCCGTTAAAATTTGGGCGGTGCTGCAATCTCTTCAGGGGTGCTAAGTTGACTGTCGGATTATCGAAGAAGAAGAATATGTTTATTTGGGACAAATAGTCCGACAAGGTAAGTCCAACTTCGACCGAGAGGTCAATCGACGGATTTAACTCAGCTGGGCAGCGTTCGGGAAATTACTACACATCTTCTCATCAGGTATATCTCAAAACTTGAAAATGAGACTGTACAACCAATGCGTGTTGCTAGTGATGACTTATGGAACTGAGACGTGGTCCTTCACTGCTGGCCGGATGAGGAAGCTAAAATTCGCTCAGCGAGCTATAGAGAGGGCTATGCTCGGGTTTTCTCTACGTGATAAGCTTAGAAATGAGGATATCCGCAGTAGAACCAGAGTGACCGACGTAGTCCAACGGATTAGTAAGCTGAAGAAGCAATGGGCCGGCCATATAGTTCGAAGGACCGACAACCGATGGGGAAAAAAGGTTTTCGAGTGGCATCCTCGTACCGGGAGGTGAAGTGTAGGGCGACCCCCACTAGATGGAGTGACGACTAGTAAGACATGCAGGAAGTCGATGGTTGCAGTTAGCTCAGGAACGTGCTTTGTGGCATTCCTTGGGGGAGGCCTATGTTCAGCAGTGGACATGTGAAGGGCTGTAATGATGATGAATGATGAGTAATGGAATTGGATCATCATTAAGTTTAGGAGTGACCGTAACAAAATACTGTTATTTTTGTACGAACTCCAACTAAGGGGCGTACCTCTTAAACTCTTTTTCAAAAAAAAACATAATACATACATGAACACTTACTTCCATCTCCCAGAGGGGTAGGCAGAGACTACAGACTTCCGTTTTTCACGATCCTGACACCTCGGTTAATCATACTCAATTCGTCCCATCTTCAAAATATCGCTATACTCGTATATATACCTTGTCAGGTCATAAGTATTGTCACACAGTAAAAGCTTTTCTTTTAGAATGCTGGTAACAAAAAAGTTTATTGAATTCGAATTTCGAATTGTTCATGAAAATAAAAATTTTATACTTTTTAGAATTTTACTCTTTTTTAAATATGGAGTGGACGCTTAAAGAAGACAGTGTTGCAGTTATTGCGTTGCATCGTTGCGGTTACGCGCCAATGCAAATTTTTGACATACTGAAAAATTTGAATATAACCAAAAGATTCGTTTATCGTACCATCAAACGATACAATGAAGACTCTAGTGTAGATGATAGGTCAAGAAGTGGTCGCCCTCGGTCTGTTAGGACTCCAGCAGTGATAAAAGCTGTGAAGGAGCGAATTCAAAGAAATCCCAAACGTAAGCAGAAACTGTTGGCCCTTCAGATGTTGTTAAACAGAACCACGATGAAAAGGGTGTTAAATGAAGACTTAGGGCTTCGGTCATATCGAAGAAAAACAGGACATCGTTTGAATGCTCGTCTAATGGACCTGAGACTGAAGAGATGCCGCGCTTTGTTGAAGCGAAACGCGGGAAAAAATATCGGGAAATTCTTTTTTCGGATGAAAAAATTTTTGCCGTAGAAGAGAGCTACAACAAACAAAATGATAAGGTGTACGCACACAGTAGTGAAGAAGCGAGCAACCGTATTCCGCGTGTCCAACGAGGTCATTTTCCATCCTCGCTCATGGTATGGTTGGGAGTTTCTTATTGGGGCTTAACAGAGGTACATTTTTGTGAGAAAGGTGTAAAAACTAATGCAGTTGTGTATCAAAATACAGTCCTGACGAACCTTGTGGAACCTGTCTCTAATACCATGTTCAATAACAGGCACTGGGTATTCCAACAAGAATCGGCGCCAGCTCATAGAGCGAAGAGCACACGAGACTGGCTGGCGGCGCGTGAAATCGACTTCATCCGGCACGAAGACTGGCCCTCCTCCAGTCCAGATTTGAATCCGTTAGAATACAAGATATGGCAACACTTGGAGGAAAAGGTGTGCTCAAAGCTTCATCCCAATTTGGAGTCACTCAAGACATCCTTGATTAAGGCAGCCGCCGATATTGACATGGACCTCGTTCGTGCTGCGATAGACGACTGGCCGCGCAGATTGAAGGCCTGTATTCAAAATCACGGAGGTCATTTTGAATAAACTTTAGTGTCATAAGAATCTATGTTTTGTTAAGTTCATTTTGGTATATAAATGGTTACATAATGAATAAACTTGTTTCAATTATTTTATATTAAACATGTGACAGAATTTATGACCTGACTAGGTATATTATATATATAATTTATTAATATTAATTTATATATATATATATATATATATATATATATATATATATATATATATATATAAACTTTATATATAAAAACTTTTTTACCACATCCATATTCATAATATGTCTTTTCATAGTTCGTCTTTAATTCAAATAACTTATTAATAGCTGTATTTCTGGACCGCACCTTGTCTTAATAGAACATCGCGTCATGCAATTTGATGCGCAACGCCACTCAAGCAGTAATCAACTTGAGAAACATTTACAGCTAACGATTCCACGCCGATCTCAAATAGATATTCAATTCATAATATCGGACTTGAAATTACGGGCCCCGAGGCTGTAGCAAAGGTTGATCGGAATTGTTCGGATACACGTCGTATGGTGCGAGCATTGGGCAACGGCGCCTTAATAAATCGTTCATTTGCTGCAACACTGTTTTATCTCAAAAATCCTGACTTTTCAGAAAACGAGTTTAAAGGTTTTAAATGAGTATGTTATCCTTGTTTTTAAAATTCTGTAGTAAAGTTTTATGTGATTTTTTTTTTATGTAATGTAGTTTTCATAGAGCTAGAAGTAAACTATATTTTTCATACATATTTTACGAGAAAAAAACCATTTCAATAAGAAAAAGTGTAAAAAATTATGATTTATCACGTTGTTCCTGAAAAAACCTAAAATATATATTGTAACTTTATAAGATAACACATTTTAGGTGATATTGTGTTTTTCTTTTGTTAGGTGTAACTGATTAAAATACTTTTTTGGAATTTTTTTTTTATTTTGAACTTACACTGTAACACAGTGACTTGAACACAATAATAGTATTAGCTTTTCTTATTTTACAATAATAAAAATATCTTGTTTTAGTTGACATAACTTATGGCTATAGTAACTACTTGAATTTGTTTAAGATGTTTTCTATTATAATATTAAAAAAAAGTATATTAAAAACTATGAGATCATAAAGTCAGTCATAATTTATGTATCACCATACTAATAATTATCACAATAGTTCGAATCGTTCTGAAAGTAGAACTAAAAGTAAATTAAAACATAGCTATCAAAAACAATAAAAATTAAAATAAATCTTTAAACACGCAAAAAATTATAAAGCTTCAAAGAAAGGCCTATAATATCTTGGAATGAGATTTTTTTCTACTAATTCCATTAGATCTGTTTTTTTTCTCTCTGATATTCCGGGCTTAGCCTCATATGCTTTTGATACGATAACATCTATCTCCCTTCGTCTCTTTATGACTACCGCTTTCTTGTAGTCCTCTTCGAAGTATGACCTTTTGAAGTATATAACCCGAGGTTCATTTTTAAGAGCTTTATTATCTTCATCTCACCGATCTTAGCGAACTGGTTTTCATCATCTTTCTGCAGCATTACACCCATTTGAGTACATACGTTCTTCCAGTCGTAAATGTCGTCATAACGCATTTCATTTACTCGAAAAGGTTCACTCTTCTTTCTGGCTGCCTTGATAGCACCGATGAAGGCATCAGGCGTGTACATTGGGCCACTTCTTAACTGCCTTTTAACTTGTTTTTCAATTTGTGAATGAGCCGAGTCCCCTTCGTTTTGGGTATGTCCTTTAATCAAGTACTTGTGGGTAATAGACCTGATATTTGGTAACTTTTTTTAACATTATACGAATAAAATATGACATCAATGTCTGTGCCAGTGCTATTCATCGCTTCCAAGTACCTATAAACGCAAGTCGCAATTTCGTTAACGCCTCTTTTTGCGTTAGATTCGTCCCATACATAACATTCCACAATATTTGTGTGCAGATCATAAATTGTAAAGTTTAGTACGTTCAGCTTACATAAGTAATAAAAAACGGAGATTTCTCCTTTTGGGCACTGATGCACTGCTTGTAAATCGTACACAGCCACTTTAACATTCTTGTTAGCTTTGTCGTTTTCGTTTTCGACACGTGATAGCTTTTTGTCTTTGTGATGTTTTTCATAACTTTCTTTCAGTGTTTCTCTTTCTTCATCATTACTATTTTTAAACGCTTCGCAAGTTTCGCACAGATCTTTCTTCGGTATAAAGAATGATATATTGAAGTCATGTGTGAAAATGCGGTAAAACATTATATAATTTCCATAAGGAGCATTATTTTTTTTACACATCTCTACATAATCCTTGTGAAGGTCAGCCACACTCTTGCTTCCGTCAATATAATGCCTCTTTGAGTGGGATCGTATATAATGAAATTCAATTTTGGGTATGGTCTCAATAAATTCTTTTATGGCCTTTTTAATTTTTTCATCAACTTTCGGTTGTTTTCCATGACATATTCTATTGTCTTTCATGTCGGTTATGTTGGTAGCCTTATTTTTCTTCTTCATAGCTGTATCTATTGGTCGACTATTGATCCCTAATGTGTTTTGGAAAAAGTGCTTGCACACTCTGATTTTTGTACCAGAAACAGTAAAGTAAAAAGCCTTGTTATTATTTCGCTTAGGTCCAGAGCAGTTTCCATCAGCATCCACTCTAATATAACAATGTTTTGGCACGACATCTTCCACAGAATTCGCAATAAAACTCCATTGTTTTTGAATACTACCCAACTTCCAATAGTCTTCATTTAGTTGCAGCCGTTGACTTTCAGTAATATTTGTTCCACATTTGAACTAACATGAACCTTTACAGGGTTCCTTCAGATGACGTTCCGATATAGTTCTTCTTGTTTTACTTGACTCGTATTATTTTCCATTATTTCGTAATCTTTTAGCGATGTTTCTTTTCCAGCCTTCTTCATTTCTCTGTCTTTTTCTTCCTCTTTTTGTTGGAGTTAGAGTACTTGTAGGTGCTGATTCTGTCGTTATGTTTGTTGAACTTGGTATTACTTCCATTGTAGAGGGAGCTATGACTTCCAAAGTTGTAGATGTAGGCGCATCTAGTATTACGTTATTGTCTGATATAATGGATAGAGATGAAATTACCGAGGCAGATTCTGATGTCCTTTTTAGAACTGTATTCGTTGGCTCTTCTGTCGGACAGTATTCTTCTTCATCAGAACTACTATCAATTTGTACTTTATGTTGTGGTATAATGCTATAATTTGGGTCTTTAACTGAATCATCAGAGTCTGAAAGGAAAATTAATTTGCTGATTATTATTTATAGTTATTTATTAGTTGAACTGAAATATACTTTAAAAATCTAAGCTTCATAAAATGATAACTCGATGATGACAAACTGCTGCTAGAGGAGATACTCGAAGATCTAACCGAAATCCGCCGAGATTTTCTTGCGTCTTTCTCTAGTTCATCATCTTTATCTGAAAATAATTTAAAATTCTCACAACTTTTTCTTTATTTTTTTTAGGAATTTAGTCAAACTCACTATGTCATCCCCGTAATTCCAACAACTCTTACAAATACCTACCAACATAAATACATAATTATATGTTTTTATTACATTAGTCAGGTATTGTTTTAAATGTATTAATAATGCAGTGGTATTAGGCAGACAACCAATATTTTGTTCGTCTTTTGGCCTTGCCTTTCCTGTGGATTAAGCTGACTAAGCTGAAAAGATATTATAGGTATTGCGCAAGTCTACCATTTAAAAATACTTCCAAGGTGGTGGGCTATCCACGACTATAGGTCATTGGTCATTAACTTCTTTAGAACCTTATTTTCTTACCAGGTTGTATGTTTTCTTTATTAATATTCTCTTTTTCAGCTCCATTTTCATTAATTAAGGCCATTATTTTCTTGGACCGCGACCACATCCACATCCGCACAATTTTATTCCGTTTATCATAAACAACGCGACAGTATGGATATCATTGGCACCCAACAAATTATTTATCCAAAACAACGTTATATTAGCAGATCACTCACATTAAACAATCTATTTAATGTTTTGTATTGACACCTACAACGATTCATTGGAATATGGCACAGAAAATATTTTTATTTTTGTTGCAATAGTGTGATAATTAGGTCATTAACACAACAATATGATACTAATATTTTTCAGCAAAGGTGTGCTAAGTTAGAATAAAACGCTATTGGATTAAATAATAAGTGACAATTTCTACTTACCTTTGCAACAACAGCGTGACGAAATCGTATTAGCGCGTTTTTGTAGAAATCCACTTCCACCTCTGACTGCTCAAGTATAACTGAGATGGCGCGTTTTCGAAATAACTCGCCAGAGGACGGAGACAGCGGTACAATGCAATAATTATGTCTCTTTCTTTGATTGAATGGCGTAAAAATTAACGCGTTTTTGCAGCAAATAGATCGCATTGTTGCGATTTTTTCTACATTATTAGTTAAAATCACCACTTTTTCGAGATAAAACATTATTGCAGCAAATGAGCGAAATGATCTACCGCAAAGTTCGTGATAGTCATCGTATCACAAAATACACCTGACAATCTAAGGCTTCACTATTCCGTCATATATAACCCAATATAATACTTTAGAATGTCAGATTGGTTGTTTAGCAGTAAAATATCAATATCATTTGTTTAACATTTTTTAGACGTTGCTTTTGTATTCTGGTCAATTTAAGAATCTCTACACAATATGTAAAGAAACCCTGTCCGATCCGATAAGTAACAAAATGCCATTACAAAAAATTTAAATGTCATCTCTATATGTATATCAAAATTAATTGCTGTCCGTTAGTCTTGCTAAAACACGACCACACACTGGCTCGACCGATTCTGATGAAATTTTTTGTGTGTGTTGATAGATACCCTAGATGGTTTATATTCACAAATGGACTCGGTACGTAGCGCTGTTATCGAGATTCAGAAATCACTCGTGTGAGGCCGGGGCGGATCGCTAGTGTTAGAAAAAATTATATGTATAAAATACATGTTTATACTAACTACAATTTGCTTGATAATTTAGCAAATTTTTAAAATCTGGCAACACCATCGTCGGCGATGGTATCTTTGAACGTGTGATCGGTATCTAATAACATTTTATCTTATTGTTTATTAGGTTTTGTTTTCTTCAAAAAGGATTACATAAACAAAATCACATCACGATACATAAAAGCACCCTGACACAACGTTTTTTTTTTTTCACATATTGTATATTGTGGTATATAATTATGTTACGGGTAATGTCCAAAGAACGTAAACCTAGGTTTACTCGGTGCTTTTGTGCGTAGTCCGAATAATAGTTGTAGAACTATAACTTCCAATTTGACTAATATATACAAAAGCACATTTTAAAACTCACTGTCCTATTTTAAGACACAATAGTAAGACGATAGCAATGAACTACATATATTATGTAATACACGGGACAGCGAATGGATAAAGTTATACCAGCGACAGTCGGTCAAAGCCGCGGACATTCATTTCTCATATATAAATTATGCGAACTTTACCAAAAAATCACAGGGTAATACTGGTTTAACCGTTTTTGGACATTACTCTGAGGAATTGTTCGGACTAATTCCAGCCGCTCAATTTCACCATCGCACATCACGACAAAACTCGCGATACCAACCATACCGTCTGGATGATTGGTGGTCCACGACTGTGCGATTTAGAAGAAATTTTCTTTCTCGCTTTGCCAACAACTTTTGAAAACAACTTCCTTGTGGAATCGATTACCACCAGAGATTTTTCCGGACCGATACGACTTAGGGACCTTTAAGAAATGAAAGCAAGAGAGAAAAGGCCGGCAACACATCTGTAATTCCCCTGGTGTTGCAGTTGTTTATGGGCAGCGGTAGTCACTTACCATTAGGTGAGCCGCATGCTCGTTTGCCTCCTCTGCTATTAAAAAAATACGAATAAATATTACTTTCTAATCATAATAAAAACAATTGAGTGCCGTAAGAGGCGACCGATGGTAATTAATTAGGAGGCGGGCAGCAGCATCTTCCTTATAACAACACAAAATAATAAAAACTGCAGTAGCTAACCCGCCATCCAGGTGTGGTAACTATGGTAAATATCCTCCCTACAAAGCAATCTTTGAAGAAGGCCTACGTTCAGCTATGGTGGTGGTGGAAATAACTACAAATTAACGATTTTGGAATTTTCTCCTCAACTTGTGGTATGATACCTTATGTTGCTAAATTTCATGCTTTTAGGTCCACGGGAAGTACCCTATAGGATTTAATCAGTGAGTTTGCAAGTTACAAAATACTTATATAACATAAATATCTATTTTTAATGTGTTGTCTTAGAAGCTTACATTGTTTTACACATCTACCTGAACGTGTACCTTGGTATTTGATATATAATTTCAACTTTATACCTATACCCGTTGTTGGCAAAAAGTTTCTTGACCAACGAACAGACAAACGGACAATTAATATATCCTTGTTATTTCATTTATTCATATCTTCACAGTTGATTCAGTTTTTTTTTTCAAAAATGTGAAAACATTAGCGAAGAAAAATTCTACTTTTTATTTCTGGCAAATTTCTAAGGAGAAAATGGAAGGAAAAATTGCCAGATTTCTAAGGAGAAATTTATTAGTTTGCCGTGTGAGTGCCCTTGGCGTAAGAGAAGCGGTCACGTTCCGTGAATTTCAGGAACGTGATCAGTTATCAGGAAGTTCCTGCGATCCCCGAATGTTAAATATACGATATTAATATAGGCCCCTAGGCCCTAAAGCCCTCAAAATGTCTAAAAATTATACTTATCCCAAGTATAAAAAATACATTATATTATAGTTCTGTTCATTTTAATTAGTATGCAAAAGTATATGAGACTATATTTTTAAGAATACCTACTTTGAAAGAGGGAGGCGACATTTTTGACTATAGTAGCTCCGGGTCGGGCTGCAACATTCCATGGTACGCCAACGCTCAAAAGACCATATTATTTTGACGCTAATCCCAATCATCGAGTTGTCCTTGTCTAGCACCAAATCTTCCCTTCTAATATAAGTAGCGGCATGGAAGTCTAGCAGCGACCGTTATTGCGCATAGGTCGCGTTGATTGGCTCATGCGTAACGTTGGCACGCGTTTATTGGCTCTCCAGTCGCATTCGTGCAATTAAATTCGTACGCGTCCCCTCCACGTTTCGTTCAGCGTTAGACTTACGTGCCGCGACTTGTACAAAGGCCCAAGTTCATCTATGTTCGTCCTATTAAATCGCAGATGTAAATCTAGCACAATATATTATCTACTGCATAATCTCTCATTTTTGAGAGAGTTATGGAACAATTAACGAGGACATGTGAATGTCACATGTCCTCGAAATATTTTTTATTCCTTAGACGTGCCAGTTTCCTCACGATGTTTTCTTTTACCACAGAGCACGGGGTAAATCAGCACTTAAAACTGCAATTAACAAATCGTCGATACCGTCAGGTTGCTTGCGTACTGTGAAATTTACTGCAAGCGCTTATCTCCTGCGCTAGGTACTAGTTCGACTGCATATTCATTTTAAAACATGTACGTATTTCAAATATCACCGCTTGAAAAAGAATATCATTTACCCAGATAGTATCTTGATTTATGTTACTTAATAAAGACGGCTTTAGCTATACACCTAAAAAGGACGCGGCTTATTTTTATTTATGTTAATAAAGAAGTACAAATATTCTGCGCTGTATATGTCCTTAAGTCTAATAGAAGTAAATAGTTATAAGGACCGGTCCTAATAGACGTGAGAAACTTTTTACAGGTGCGCGCATATTGAAGTCACAACTGGGTAAGCTCTCTGAGAATCCTTTTAAGGTACACAACAGTCATTCAACTAACAAAATGAATAACACTGAATTGAAAGAGACGACTTAATGTACCCACTTACTTCCATACAAGGTAATGCAAAAAGACAGCAAGTTAGGTTTTAGTTTCCGACGTAAATCTACGTATAACGAGCTATTAGCTCAGGCCGAGGGTTTTGTTTGGCATGATTTACATTAGCATCATTAGTGAGAATATCGCTGCCATATAATCTATCGAATAACTTAACGGATAATGCGGCTGTAATCCGTAATTAAAATAGCTTTATACATAAAGTACTCGCATAATTATAATACATTTTATAGAATGCATGTTTTATTTATTGGAACGAAGTTCCTTATCGCACGGTATGTACGAATTTGGCGGATGGACGCTAGGCGAGAAAAAGTATTATATTTTTCCGTCAACACACACGAATAATCTCCATCTCCCTCGCACTTTTTCTTATCTTGCCAATAAATATTATTTTAAATGACGTTTCATTTTAGTAGACTAAATAATATAAAATATAATGAATTATTATTATTTAGTAATTCGTTTATTTTATTTGTTAATTAATAATATAATACGTTTATCAATAATAATATATTACGAAAGGAACTTCGTTTCAACCGAGTGTTCCATAACACTCACGCATGTTTATTTGTTATTTTTATGCTATAGAATAATAAATGCAGGTGCGTTGTCACCCCTGAGGACCAGAAATACAGCAGCGTAAAGCTGCCATTATACGTTGGTATTTGAGAGAGAGAGAGGTCCTTTCTCGGTCCATCTGACCCATTCGCGCTGCACCCATAATATAGCTGCAGAAGGCTTCTACCACATAGGCAAAATAAGTACGTAAGATTTATTCATATCTTTTTAAAATTCTATAAAGTATTAGAAAACAAAATGGTACAAATTGAAAATAAAGAAGAGGCCGTTTGCGAGAAAGCATGATGAATGCATTGATCAAATGAACACACCAAAACAGTTTCAAGCAATTATTGGTTTTTTTTTTGTACATAGAGCAATGCATTTTACATTATACAAACAAAACTAGAGAAAACAGAATCATGTTT